TTGATGAAATGCCCATAATATCTCTAAGATAAGCCCCACCATCTCTCTCTAGTATTGCAGATGACACATCCCTGAATCCAAGGTCTGTAGCTATCCTGTAGCGTACTCGTAGTTCAGGTAGATAGGTCAGCAGTTTCTTCATATTTTGAGTCACTTGTGGAGACTGATGGTTGTTGGCATTTTTAAATCTGTAAAAAAAAAAAGAAACAACATTACAGTCAATTGTAAAGAGACTGTTTTTGGGAAGGATATAAAAGACATCTTGGAAATATGTCCCCTGAAACAGTCCCACAATGTACACGCAACCAAGTATTATTTCCTCATCCTCAGAATGGGTAGTTGGTGCAGAACCCAAGAGAATTACACACAGCTTTACAAGAGTCGATCAACTTACTTGTTGGCCACATCAACGAACAGAACACTAGCAGGAGTCATAACAGATCGCAGGTCCTGCCAGTACTTGAAATCACCGGCCATGACCACGTGATAGTAGATGGCGCTGATCCATAGATTTGAACCTCGTTTCTCATATGCATCGACCACTAGAAGAGCCTGAAGAGGATTGAGATGCAATTTAGATGAGCAAACACGGCAATGCACACGCTTTTATTATGGGTGAGCACGCCATTGTCTTTAACAAAAAAAGGCAAATAGATCCTTTTTACTTTGCATATGCCTTATTTGACGGGGGGAAAAAGGAAAAAAGAAAAGAAAAAAGCCAGGAAAAAAGGAATGACAAACCAGACAATTCAAATCAGCAACATTCAATTTTTGAATCTGACCGCAAATTGCAGAAATTTCAATGATATACACCACATCAAAAATATATGGCGACCAATTTGAATAAGTATTGTTCTGCACTGACTGGGGACTGACCAGCCTCGTGTTCACGTCGAAATATATAAGCGTTTTCGCATGTAAGTCAGTTCAGAACAATAGTTTTTCAAATTGGTCGCCATTTTTTGACTCGTTTTATCGTTCCTCACCTCAAAGAAGTGGTTGTGTTTGGAGAGGAACTGTTTGAGTCCTTCTTCATTCAGGTTAATAACACGAATACCTGACGGTAGGAGATGAATCTGTAGCTGGACAAGACGGGCGTACTTGAGACACTTCTGCGAGTGTTGAAAACAACCCTCCTAACAAATCATAAGTTCATATTTTATTTGGTTTTCATTGAAACAACCTCTGTGCTGATCTAACGTGTTAGGTTTATTGCGGTGGGAGGAAAACCGGGGAGCCCGAAAAAAAACAAAAACCAAACCCCCCCCCGCAAAAAAAGAAAACCCTCAAATCGACGGAAAGACACCTAACAAACTATACTGAAATGTGATAACGATTCCAGGAATACATTCAAAAATGTAGAGCCGTCACGCAACGCTCACTCCCCTAAGTATTCATACACTCCCTAAGTACATACACTCCCTAGGGGAGTGAGCGTTGCGTGACGATTCAAATAGCGGCTGCATAGGAGACTATAGTGTCTGTGGAGGTGTATCGTATACTTAAACGCTAGCTTCTGGGTAGGGAGACTAGGCAAAAGGGAGACTAGGCAAAAAGGAAAAAAAATCATTTATCATTTTTAATAAAATAATAATAATAAATTTCTACATTATTTTTATAGTTTATAAGAATATAATATATCATACCTTGGTGTAATAGTCTGTGGCGTACTTGAATGAATTCATTATGGATGTCAACTTGGATTGCAGCTCAGGTTTGGCCGCTGAAAAATAAAATAGAAAATAGAAAAAAAAAATCGTTAAATGAATTGTTAGCATGTTACGTCATCGTAATGGGGAAAGCGTCATACAGTAATGGGGGAAAACCACATCAACAATCAAAATGGTGTCTAAATACGAATAGCAGTCGGAACAAGATCCATGCAGTATGGCRTGCTCCCTTGCACGATGCTAACGTTCGTAAACACCAACTAGTGTTATATGGATGTGCAATTTCAACTGTTGGGAATAGTTGCCATAAAACTACCATACTTCCTCTATTTCAAGAGCCCCCAAACAGTTTTAATATGACCCTCCCCTCCTGATAAGCCCCCAGCCCTTCCTTGACAGGCCTTTGAAAGTCATTTAACCTGTCACGATTAAGAATAAAAAATAGTCCCTCATAAGCCTGTAATAAGCCCTCCACCCTACTCTTTCAAATGAGCCCCAGTCCAAAAGCACTGGAAAAGAATAGGGTGGTTTACTAGAGGAAATACGGTATTGTAATGTGAACGGCATCCTTCAAATATTTCGTTTGGTTGGACTCACTCATTTGTTGATCTTTTAGCTCTTTCATTTGGGTGATCGCGGACGTCTCCCAGGTATCTGCTAGTTCCCGGTACATACTGAAGTGCATGGCGACTATTTTGTACTTCTCGTCATCGTCTGGGTGACATCTCTTGAGGTACTCTAGTAGAGCGACTTTAAGCTTGTTTTCCTACACGAGATAAAGACTAGTACCATGAAAAAACATGCACGTGCACGTGCAGGTGCACGGCAACAAGCCAGCAAGCACTGAAGCAAGCCAGCAAGCAAGCCATCAAGCCAGCAAGCGCTGAAGCAAGCAAGCGCTGAAGCAAGCAAGCGCTGAAGCAAGCAAGCGCTGAAGCAAGCAAGCAAGCAAGCAAGCAAGCAAGCAAGCAAGCAAGCAAGCAACCTAGCAACCTAGCAATTCAAGGAACAAGTTGGGGAAGAAGCAAGCAAGCAGCAAACAAAAAAAAAAAAAACAAGAGAGACGGACACAAGTCAAAGGAACAAATACCTTATCGATTCCTCTTTGGCAAAGCAGCTCAAAATGATGGTGGCGTAGTAGAGTATCAAATATGTAGGACATCTCACGAAAACGACCTATGCCTGTCAGCAGACGAACCTTGGATAAAAAAAATCAAGAAGAATTCAACGAAAACGACGTACGAGAATTGTTTTTCACAGCTCAAAAAATATCACTCAAGGATCTCATGGAAAATATTAAAAAAAAAAAAAAGATAGGAAGAACAAGAATGAAAATAGTAATAAGAAAATATAGAATAAAAATTATAATAATTCTAATTAAGAAACAAATTAATGTAAAATAACTTGAGCATTTCTTTTCACTGTTTGTCTCACCATCAGTCGGTATTCTTCTGAACCAGCGAGTGCAGCGGTCAGGTGTCTTCCACATTTGAGCACGCTTGTTATTCCTTCCATATTACAGGCTATTGTATGACACTCATGGGCTCGTACCAGCAGCTCTACTTCAAGATGTAATGCTTTACAAACAAAAATAAGATAGTGAATGCACAGGCAAACCCAAGTACGACATTCTTAATGCAGATGCTCAACGAAAGATCAATAATGGCGCGAAATGTTCTGCCCAATCACAACGCTTGAAATTAGTATTTCTTCTAGCATGCGCAGTACGAATGACAGCGCTATGGGGTCGAGAGTGAATTTCATTAATAGGGTTACCTTTGGGTTGATAAATAATAAATGTCAGGGCACGGCTAACTCACGGGAATTGAACGCGCTCAAGAAAACCCTCAAATCAAAGGAGAGAGACAAAACAAACCCTGCTCAGAGGTGAGGCGATTTAACTATCGCTACGCCTTCCTATTGGAGAGAAAAAAGTTCCTATAAAAGAGAAGTGACTTACCTTTGTTGCTACCAGTCCCCGAAACACGATTATGTGCAACACTGGCTGCCGTTTCTAGGAGACGGTTGCCAAGCAACGCTTGATCCGAGCACAGTCGGATTACTTGAATGACGTCATCACAGGAAGGGGCCGCGTTGAAGATTAGATCGCTTTCACCATTTGAAATTTCTTGGGAAATACGAAGAAAATTATTTCAACGTAGAATATGGAGAAAATGCGTATTGTTTGTGCAGAGTGTAGCGAACATAGGGGTTAATAATAAGCAATTACTAGGCGAGGTTGAGCAGAATACCGTGATTTGTTAGTGTGGCGAGCAAGCAATAGACCTCTTCGGCTTGGGGTTATGTTTTCCCATTTCACACCACGTGTCATTCCCTTGAGAATAAGATTCTTTGTTTGATATTCATGTGCCTTCTCATGTGCAACCGAGCGCAATCCTTAAACAAAGAAATGATACTCTAGGGAATGAAATGTGGTCTGAAATGGGAAAACAATACGTCAGAGCCGAAGAGGTCTATTATTTGCCAAAGCCGAAATTATTGCCCGGAAGACAATAACAAACTACGATATTTTGTGATAACCAAGTTACTATTTAAATTTTTATTTCGCTTATTTTTTAAATATGCCAAGCCACTTTCTGACAGGTCAGGAATGCAAGCCATGTTGACAAACGCACGTTACTGCACATGACCAGACTGTTATTTGCAGCAAAACGACCTTACAACGTAATGCGCATGAGTAGAACATTATTTGTAGGCAGTTCTATCGGCCAATCAAAACGACGGAAAATTAATTTGAATGATAATAATAAATAGAGGTTATCAGTCGACTCAGACTCAGGTCAAACGTCGAACTTCACATGAGCCGAACTTAATTGTTCCAAATAAATTCATGTGAAATTTGACGTCTGATCCAATTAGGTTCGACCGATTGAATTTGGACCGACTAAGTGGATCTTCACTATAAGGTCAGTAGGGAAGCACGACTGTAGATCCACTTGGGGTCAAACGTCGAACCTCACTCGAGCCGTTCTAAATGCATAAATCATGTTAATGTGTGTTTTGCACTCATTTACTAGTAAATTATTCTTTGCCACCACGCATGCGCCGCTAACAAATGTTTTCAACATGGCTACTGCAGTAGAATGCAGCAGCTCATGATTTGATTATAGACTGGCATTATGATGGTGTAACCGCTGACTACTTAAACATGAAACACAATTTGTTTGGTTTTATTTGTTTTAGGAACGACATAAATAAGTTCGACGTTTGACTCAGTCAGTCGAACTTAATTATATGAGTCGATCCCAAATACAGTTAGGCTCGGCTCATGTAAAGTTCGACGTTTAACCCAATCTTGTACCAAGAGCCTGCTTTTCTTTTGGCCTGCGGCGAAGAACGAGAGCTCTGGCATAATCCATTTTTGGTGCATGCGAAGTTTTCCGGAAGTGAAATACAATGAATGAAAATCATGCTTTCAAACAGAGTTCTGTGTTTACTTTCGATCAAGATAAGAATTAGAAATGGGGAACATATTTTTATTTTATTTTTGGCAAGTCTTTTAGCTTATGCGCTCTTATACCGGAAGTTCAAGAAATCCTGTTCTCAAAAAATGGATTATGCCAGAGCCTTCGTTCTTCGCCGCAGGCCAGAAGAAACGCAGGCTCTGGGTACGAGATTGCGTTTGATCTTAGCCTAAGCATCTGATACAGCTGTGCATTTTTACCGTCACCCCCGATGCTGACCTGTGTGGCCGCTGCTTTAGATCTTACCTTCGCCACAATAGACCTTCAGCGATAACAGAATGATATCTTTGAGAAATCCTACAACCTGTGAAATACCATTTATTAGTGAAAAACCGCAAAGTTTTGAATTTGTGTCAGTTTTTAAACATTTATTTTATTGACCCTTACCCTAACCCAAAAACACCTTAACCTTGAACTTTATTACGGAATAGTGCCATTATATGTAGTATCAAATGAAGTAGTAAGGTTGATGTTGCAATAGACCTCCTCGGCTCTGGAGCGCTCGAGAGTAATGTTGTCCCATTCCGACCACGTGTCATTCCATTGAGAATAAGATTCTTTGTTTGATATTCATGTGCCTTCTCATGTGCAACCGAGCGCAAACCTTAAACGAAGAAATGATACTCTAGGGAATGACACGTGGTCTGTAATGGGAAAACATTACGTCAGAGCCGAGGAGGTCTTTTGAGTGTATTAAGCTAGTACTAGCAGGCTTAGTCTATCCTACCTCGTCTGAGCTCAAGTCAAAGGCTTTGATATAAGCATCGGCCAGTTTGTAACGAGAATCGAATACAGATACCAACAGGGAATGTAGGACATTGAAGGGCTTGTCAGTCACTACAGCCTTGTACTCTAGACTAAGGGTCTGGAATATAGTAACATCCAACAACATACGATATTTATACTAAACCTTTTTCTTACAAAGATAGCGCGACATCCAATAAGAGAAAACTGATGCGCCAAGTCAAAACAATGGGGATTTGGTTTGGGTTTGGGTATGGTGGGGGGATTCCCAGTAGGTTTTAATTGGGTTAAACATTGCGTTTGCAGCCGAATTGGTCTATTAGCATCTTTAAGCATCGTTAGCGGCTGTTTCATCGTTATTCCTATGTCAAGGGATTTTGAGTCACATGGTTTCACACGAAGCTAGTGGCCCTCGTTTCATAAGCAAATTATAATTTATAATTTCTTTTTGAGCAACTCTACTCGCATATAATTGCGGGTCAAGGGATCATATTCGTGACCACATCGGTGAGAGGCGACGCATTGTTAGCGCACAGCATCTGCGCTTTCTGCATATAAATTTGATATACAATTATTTCTCTCCCACCTTCCCCTCCCTGCCAAACAAACGCATAGAATGTAAAGGCACAGTACCTGCGCTATCTTGTAACACGTGGTTATGCGCGCGCAGCATTTCTTCCCCTTCTTGCAGTAATACGTCAAGGATTCCATGGCAGTGATGGTGTCCTCCACCTGGACCCAGTCCACTGAGATGGAGTCATCAGCACCTTGGCCAACACTGTCCGTTAGACTGGTACTCAACACAAAGCTACCACTACGCTTTATGCCCTCCAGGTTGGATCCAGACCCCGACACACTGATACGACGGTGAGGGGTCTGGTATAGGAGTTTGCGAATCGGATCGTCAAGGGTGTCTACGAATCGCGTGGCTTGGGCCAAAAACATACAAGACTAAAAAACACAAGGAAATAATGTCTGTTGGAATGATTCCAAAAAGAAAAGCCGTGACTGAATGTGAATAGCTATCGCAAGAGTGGGAAATATACGGTACTGATTTATAGCAAGTATAGACGGTACAACATGCCGTAACATCGTAATGGATAAAAAAAAAAAAAAAAAAACAAAAACAAAAAAGGACGGATATTTGGTTAGTAAAATGGTTTTGGAGCTGATAGGCTTAGTCTAGTGTAAGCAACATCTCCATTCATCTTACCAGAATAATATTAAGATCTTGACTCGTATATTCAAAATGAGCGGCCAGGCGACGTGCCTGGGTCACGTGACACCCTTCTAAGAGCTCACCAATCACTCTTTCAAGAGCTGAGAATTCCTGGTAAATATTAAAACAAACAGCATAAAAATAAGTTAGGTTCCAAAATTCTCGGAATATAACTGATAATGAAATGGAAAAGACGGAGGGGGTCTGTGATTATAAATTAACTGGAAACTTTGGAGTGTAGTGTAGTGTAGTGTAGTGTTGTGCAGTGAAGTGCAGTGTTGTGCAGTGCAGTGCAGTGCAGTGCAGTGCAGTGTAGTGCAGTGCAGTGCAGTGCAGTGTAGTGCAGTGCAGTGCAGTGCAGTGCAGTGCAGTGCAGAGCAGAGCAGTGTAGTGCGGTGCGGTGCGGTGCAGTGCAGTGCAGTGTAGTGTAGTGTAGCGAGTTTAGAATAGTTTAGTCTAGTAGGCTTAGTATATTTTTTGATAAAATTAGTGATATGATGTAATTTCTCCTGAAGGATCTACCGTGGATAAAAAAAAGTTATCTATCTATCTATCACGTGGAAGTCATGTAAGGGGATGGGAAGGGAAGGTCGGAGACAAAACAGTCATCCTCAGCCAGGAAGAAAGAAAGACAAAAAATCTATTATTGAATGTCAATACTCAAATTTCAAATTCTCTATTACTTTGGGTCCTCTCAAATTTGGTGTAGCATATAAGCGTGTTCCAGCGAAAGTCTTATCTTAAAGTGGTTATGTTGTTGAAGTTGCGCAATCTTTACTTTACCGTTTGGTATTCGTGGCATTGAAAGGAGGCTAGCCTGCGTACCCAGGCGTTCCTTGTGGGTTTTGGTGGAGGCTAAAAGGAGGCTGTCCCTAAGTACCTGAGTCTCAAATCAAGGAACACCGGTACTTTTCCCGATAGGAAAAAATCAGGGTTTTACATAAGCAAGGCAGATATACCTCGTCTGTTGTGAGCACAGTTCCATCAGTACTTAGACTCGTATCGAATGATTCTGGTTGGATCAGCTCGTTTGTGCCAGACCCTTCCGAGGTATTATCACTAGGACGGTTTATGAATACTCCTGCAGCCCAGTCAGATGATGAGGGCAAGAACTCTAGATGGCTGACCGATCGAGCGAACCGAACCTAAAATGTACACATAGAATGACTTCAATGTTTTTTAATCCATCCCTCTCTCCCTCCCTCCCTCCCTCCTTCCCTCTCTCTCTCCATCCCTCCCTCTCTCCCTCTCTCCCTCCCTCCATTCCCATATTACTGCAAGTAATTAATTTCCGTCCGTCCCTCTCTCCCTCTCTCCCTCCCTCCATCCATCCCTCCCTCCTTCCCTCTCTCTCTCCATCCTCCATCCATCCATCCCTCCCTCCTTCCCTCTCTCTCTCCATCCCTCCCTCTCTCCCTCCATTCATTTATTTATTCATTCACTCATCCATTCGTTTCTATAACACATACCTCACGGTTCTTTTCCATCTCAGCCCTGATAGAACACAGCCATATTCTTTTCTCCAGCTTGCTTAGTTCCTCTTTCTGTCGGCCTTCCTTATTCTCAGTCGTAACGGTTCGGGAATACCATTGGAGAGCCATCGATAGCATTCGGGATTTCTCCGTAAACGATAGGTCATTATCTTCAGCCTGAGTCTAATGAAACCAAGCAGGATACAATTAATCAAAAGACAATACAGAAGGCTGGGTCCACATTTTTTAAATCATTTCAAAGTTGGTCAAAAAATCCAGTGTGAATGTCTACAGAATTTCAACCGTAGGAGTCACAGTGGCTATGAGGTAAAAATGTATTAAAAATATAGAAATATATATATATAGAAAATAAGTGCCAATCTGGTTTACACGAGAAAGAATTCAGTTTCCCAGGGAAAAAAAGACTATTGTTATGCCTCCTGTCATGACTGCCATCACGTCATGGTGCAAAGCCTCTATAATAAGGGGGTTTTTTTCGTTTTACCTCGAAGAACGAAGCAGCAATCTCTGGGTTACAGCGGTTGCTCTTAAAACACTCGTCAGCCTTGTGCCAAAATGCCAGCCGTCCTTGCTTGATTTCCCATAGAACAGAGTTCTCTATGCTTTCCCGTTCGTGTAGGACCTAAAAAAAAAATAAGTAAGGAACATATCATGCAGTTAAAGCTTAATAAATGGAGTGAAATCAAAACCTGTTTTTACAAAAAAAGAGAGTTTACGATTCGATTAAAAGCGCGAATAAAAAAGATAACTTAATATTGAATATAATTGAAATTTAAAATCTATTTAAGACTAAGTATACCATTTTATCATTGAATTAAGCTGACGCATCACGTGTCCTAATCGTGTGAGGTAAAAAAACTGTTCTGGAAACGCTATGTACGATATTTAAGGAATGTAGCGTGCTAAGGCGTTTGAAAAAGTGCGCTACTTACTGAAGATGGTAAAATGTCACGAATTCTTTCTTCTGGCCGAAAAACTTATATCTATCGCAGAGTAGGCAGATCAAGTTTAGTGATTCTGTCTTTGTAAGAGGGAATGGGGAGAATGATTTTTGTGGCGCGCTGTTGTATTTGTGGTAATTTGCATAACGCTACGAGCATGCGCAGAAGGTTCTTTCTCGTGTCCAAATTCCGCGCTAACACAAAACCCGCCTCTTTGAGTGTTATAGGATCCTGAGGTAGTCCCAATAGATCTGCGTACTCCCGTGCCTGGGAGAAAGATTTATGAGCCAGGAGACTTTGAAGTACACGTTGAATCTCATCTTTCCATGCGTCGCTGTCCTCGTCCAACAACTGCGCAAAATCAGCTACTACTTTTGTGTCTTGTATGACCTCATTGATCTTGTGCAGTTTGTAGTAATTGGGAACTTGTTAGAAATAAAATGTGGAAGATTAGTATGCATTTGTTACGCGCACTTTGCTAGCGACAGAACGATTGTGGGACATCAAAGCGAGTAAAGGTTTCAGCAACAAAACTCAGGTGCGCAGGCAGGGGAAAGCCAAGGGGTGCATCCCCTTTCCCCCTAGTGGCAACAAAATGGCGGCGTTTTAGAATTTGTACGATCATTTTCATTATTTTGAATACTCACTTTTGAAAGAATAGTTTCTGCCAAACATAGTCTTAACCAACATGGACGAGGCGCCTTTCTCGGAAGTGAAAAACCCATCTCCCCCCCCCCCCCCCCCCCCCTCCCTCCACACAAAACACACACACAACATGAAGAACAACTAGACGACACAAAGCATCTTTGAATGAATACTCACTTTTGAAAGAATAGTTTCTGCCAAACATAGTTTTAGCCAACAGGGACAACAGATGACCCTGCTCGTATGAAGTACAGCACTGACGAACCATCTGCTGGGTTACCAAACTAGTGACTTCCTCGATCCATCTGACGTCACGTGTAATGCTAAACGGTGATTGGCTGACACTGCTGTCTCTCATTGTTAGCTACAACCAATAGGAATGAGATTTTAAAAACTCGAGTTGTAGATATTTCTATATTTATATTTATGTTAAAGCTTTAGCAAGGTGAGATAATAATAATTTTATTTCACACAGAATTCAGAAAGCTAACCACTTATTTACACTGAAGCTGTGAGATGTATGTTGAGATACGAGGAATGGCTGTTTAGGGTGCTTTGGGGGGGGGGGGGGGGGKGGGTACTGGAGTAGTTTGGGGGAGAGGGAAGGGGAAAAGTGCGGTACTGGGAAGGGAGGGGTGCGATTTTATTTCTCCTCTTCCCATCCCTACGGTTGGTTTAATGTCTTTCGTTCACAGCTATTTCAAAAAGGTTGAATACTGAATACTGCATACTGAATAGTGCATTACAAGACTGAAGTGCATTGTGGGTCATAGTGCCATGGTCTAAAGTAGGATTAATAATAATTATTTATTCTATTTTTAGTGTATTCCATCTGAAACAATATACTAACTACATGTAGAGAGTTAATTGCTGTATATTTACTTTCAATTTCAAATTAACGAGGCCCCTTAATGCCATTTGGTCGTGGAATGCACTATTCAGTATGCAGTATTCAGTATTCAATCTTTTTTGAAATAGCTGTATAAGGTCTAAAGCTCGGTTTAACCAGTACGGTTTTGTCATATGATCCAACATAGTTGTTTTATCATATCATCCAACATACATTCCACCTACAGCAAATTGACACTGAACTGAAGCAAGGAGGGGGGAAAATACAAGAAAAGAATGCATGCAACCAATTATGTCGAACCAACTTTACCTTGCTGTAAGACTTCTTAAACAAATCGAGTTCCTTTTGACAGTTATCAAAATCAACATGCACAACAAATGACTCGTAGAATCTCAGGAAGCGTAGCATTGGGCTTGTCTGTGAGAAAAGAAAAAAAAAATAATTTTAAGCTATGGAATTGCACTCGTACTAAAATGATGCGTTTTTCTTAGTTGTCCCATCACAGCTGACGAGCATGATTACGTTTAGTCAGTACTCACTGGATCAAAGATGTAAAACGCTTTAGCAAGAGAAACAGCAAATCGTCCTTTATGTTTCACCGCTGCTGTAATAATCCCAGTGAGGTCTGGTGCTGACCATCGATGCCATTCAACAACTGAATACAAACAAACACAACATGCTGTAGTTAGAAATGCGAAACAAAAATTCGAAGACACTAGAGAAAGGAATGGTGTCGCTGTGGGCGTTCCTCGCAAGGCGAATCCTGTACGCATAATGTTCTAAGACCTTTATCATTATAAGATGATCGTTACGTATGCGTGCTGTTCTTCGAGACTATTGCTTTTAGTTATTATCGTAGGCGCTGGGCAGGCAAATAAGGATGATATTCTAATGAGAGTTTGGGGGATCAGATAGGCATTACGTCGGTCATACTTGGTTCTGTACAAAGCCCTTTCGGTACTGGCGAATATTACTAGAATGAGGAAGTTGCAAATGCAGCAAGCCCTTTACCCCCCCCCCCCCCCCCCATTCCCCCGTCCATGGCATAATTGAAAAGTTCCTTTGTAGTCCAATATATGTAATAGACAGGTACCTGGTATGTTGTGTGTGACTTCATCCAGGATGTCTGGTTTAAGCGTAGAGCATAGCCAGGCACATATACAATCAAGGGGCTTGGATTCCTACGGAACAATGATAGATGCAATGACCTTAAAGATTTAGCCAGTAAAGATAAAACCACAAAAACAACAACAGCAGCGACAACAACAACAACAACAACGAGAGCAAGAGCAAGGGCAAGAGCAAGAGCAAGAGCAAG